ATACCTATATTGATTATTATAAATGTATTGTATTTCACTAAGAATTTGATTCAATCTTTACTATGATCCATTCTTGATGGTTATTTAACATTTAAATTCATTTAAAACTATAAGCATAGAAAGTTGATTATGTATTTTAAATTCTAAACCTACTTGGATAAAACATTAAATATAAGATCTTGTTTAAATTTATAATTGAGAATTTTTAAAGATCCTACTATATATATAAATTATACCTAAAAAAAGAAATGTTATACTAACTAAGTTGTTATGATTTTTTTTCTTTTTAAATCAATTAACCAATAGGATTGCTGGTAAAATTACTAGTAAATTTGAAATTTTTCCTGAAAACCTTTATTAGGAGTAAGCAGGGTCTTATTAAATATAGAATTCATCAACTTCATGGATTTTAAAAATGTTTGAATTAAATATTTTTTGCCTATCTTGAATAAACTTAAAAATAAGCTATTTTATAAAAAAAAATTTTACTTAAAATATATTTAAAATATATTTAATTTTCTTTAAAATATACTTAATTTTTTTATTTTATATTTAAAATATACTGAAAATTGAATTTTCACAAAATTTGAATTAAATTATATTTAATATATACTTAAAATATATTTAATTTACACTTAAATTTTGCCTATTTCAGTATATTTTAAGGATATTTAAAATAAGAATATTTTAAGTATATTATTATATACTTAAATTATTGTCTGAAGCATAAGGACATTCTACTTCTACGCAATTCTAATGCAATGTCATTCTGTACTATAGCCTGATCGACGAATGAAATTTTGTGTTACTTATAAACAAATGTAGTCACGTGTTATGTAGTCACTACTCGTCTACTCGTGTTATTATTATCAAATTTGCGTTAAATATATTTATACATTGATAAAAATAATATCATATGCAAATAAAACTTTTAAAGATAATTTTAATAATTTTTTTAATAAATAAACAATAAATTTTATCTTTTCATTCTATTTTGATTTTAATAACTATAAATTAGCTTCTTATTTCTTATTTTTATAATTAATAATTATTCTTTTTATTTACCAATTGATAAAAACTGATTTTTAATCTATTTTTATGACTAATATTTATTTCTTATTCTAAAACTAATTTTTAAATGATAAATGACTTTTAAATAAATAATAAATAAATTCTAAATAAGTGGTAAATAATCTCCTTAGTAAAACTAACTAGTTTTACGATAATCTAATATTATAAATATTACATCATATAAATCATATTTTTAAATAAATAATAAATAAATTTTAAATAAGTGGTAAATAATCTCCTTAGTAAAACTAACTAGTTTTACGATAATCTAATATTATAAATATTACATTATATAAATCATATTGATCAATTGTTCTTCTAAATATTTATTTCTCAGTTAATTATTTTTCTAATCACATAATCATTCGTTTAGTTTTCTAGAATTATAATGTAGATGATATAAATTAATTATCATCAGAACCTGATCCAAAGATGATTTCAGTATAGATGACCTATTTATTCTTGCCTTTTATATAAATGGCTGGACTTGTACATTAAGAGATTTATTTTATATTACAGGTACGTAGTATAACTGGTAATTAGTGTTTTAGCTTTTCAAAAATTTCTGATTGTATTGGTTGAATTTCTTGTATGACTAAAGTGTAGTGTTCCACACGAATCAAATTTCTTCTCTGAAATTCAATTTGATTCAGACTTGATTCAGAATTGATTTAACCTCCAAAAATTATTATCTTAGAATCTAGTGATTCAATTTTGATGATCTTTTTTTAATCGATAAGTCTCATTGCCCTGATCAAAATAAAAAAAAAGATTGTTAAAATTGGACCGCTAAATCAAAAATTATTCGCAAAATACATTTTTATTATTCAGGAGCAATCAGGGTCACACTATGTCATGAATCGATTTGTGCAGAATACTACTGAAGTGTTATTAGTTGGTTGTATTTTTTTCTTTAAGTTATGTGATTTAGTTCTTATATACTTATCAAGTAATTTAAACTGAATACACTCAAAAATATTTTTGTAGGTGAGAAAAAACTAAATGAAGTGTAAAAAATTATATAGTTCTAACTTAAGGTTCTGAAACTTGTCCAAATAAGTATTATAAAGATTTTTTATATGACTGTATATTAAGAGTTTCAACTCTTTTAAAGCTTAAGATATATCAGTTTTACTAGTAAAGTAGTATTTTTTCAAAGTCGTTTTAAATATATAAATAAAATCTTTTCGTAAAAAACTATCTATAAGGTATTCTGCCTTTTCTTTATTAATAATATAGTTGTCATTATTAGCAGAAGAACCCATATTTTCAATATTTTTTAACAAAAAATATTATGCTGAAAATTCGTAAAAAAATGCTTCATGTGATTGGTGGAAAGAGTTTCAATATTATTTTATTAAGATAAAAAAAAGATATTATTTTAAAATATTATAATAATATTATATTTATTTTAAGAATTGTATAATAATATTAAAATTATAATAATATTAAAATATCATTATTTTAATATTTAAATAAGTGGATCCTCTAATCATTAAATGTAAAAAATAGGGTTGATAGGCTAAAATAACTCATTTTAAATGAAGTCTACTTATAGAATCAAATGATTACTCAATAGTATACATGTAGAGTACTATATATATAATAAGTGATTTGTAATTTAATTATATTAGAGTAGTTAATAGAAATTTACTTTGTATTTTTTCTTTTTTATATATTTTAATAAAAAAAAAATATAAATAATCTTAAATGTGACTATATAAAGGATGTGATTAAATAAAAGTTTTTATATAGTCTTTTATACGAGTGAATTTTTTTCNTATATATTTTAATAAAAAAAAAAAAAAAAAAAAAATATTTAAATAATATTGAATTGATTTTTAAAAGATTATTATTTGAATTTCTGGGTTTTTGTAGTATTTCTATAAAATATTTAAAGTAATATTTTTTTTCTTTTTTTTTTAAATACAGTTAAACCTTAATATAATGAATTCTTGATATAGTGAATTTTTCAGACAACTATAATAAATTTTTCCTTGCTATAACGAATTAACCAATCAAATCTCTTAAAATCTTCACTATAGCCTTATAGCGAAGTTGAGATCTGGAACCTAGAGTTCGTTATAACAAGGGTTGACTGTAATTTAATATAGGTATTGAATTATTAAAAGTTGTGTAAAAAAAAAATTAAAAAATTACTATTATATATAATATTTATATAAAAAAATTTTAATAAATTACAATGTAATAATTATTTTTTTCAATGTATATTATAAATATAAAGTTTCTATTTTGAAATATATGAATTTTATTTTATTATTATTATTTGTATTTAAATAACAATTCTAAATTATTTGAATAATTGTATTTGCTATTTTTAATTAAATAATAAATAATTTAATATTATTTGCAAGAAAAATAAATAATTGAAAATAAAGTAAAAATGAATTAATATAAAAATAAGTTTATAAAAAAAAAAAGATATTAAAAAAATAGAATTTTAAATATTTACAATATTAAAGCATTTTAATAAATTTTCAGGCAAATTTAGCCAATTTAAATATTAAGAAATTAGTTAAATTTGATTAAATTATAATTATAATAAAAAAATGCAGGTTGATGCTAAAATAAAAAATTATTAAAGAAAATAAAACTAAAAAAATAACTATGAAACAATTTAATAAAATAATATAACTGACATTGACCAATAATCTCCTTTAATAAAGACCCCTGTTTTGCCCCGTATAATCCGTATTATAAATGATCGACTCTGCATTCTCATATGCAAAAACACACTAAACTAAATAAACCAACTTACATAAAGAATAATAAATAAAGAAATTTAAGAACAATGTAACATAATATAAGGGTTGATGGGGAATTTTTTTGATCCCCAAATAATTTTATCATAAAAGTGTAACAAAAATTATTTTTGTTGATATAATTTTTCGGCTAAAATAGTATTGTTATAAACAACGAAGAGCCATTTACATAAAAATGATATGAAGAGGACCAGTGATTTTTTTTATTAAATATCATTAAAAAATACTCATTCAATGTGTAGCAAACAAATAATCATGTACCATTACACGAAAATAATGCAATTTATAGTAAATCCACCAGTCATTTTCAATATAAAACTATTTAAATTATAGGTAATAAATAATCCTTGTTATAAAAACAGTTAACCAAATGTGGAATTTATGTTACTAAACCCCATTTCTACAACTTATTAGTAAACCCCTCCCCTTTTCCCTTTTTTTTTCTTCTTTAAAAATTTCTGTTTGCTAAAACGTAAAAAAAATTTTTTTTTTTTTTTTTTTTCGCTTTCGAGCTTAATCCTCCTTATCAAAAAATAATTTTGGTGCTTTTGTTGTTGAACATCGAAAAGCAAGCAAATACTTTCAACATTCCATCATAAAATCCCTTTCCATTTTTAATTTTATCTCATTACGCTTTCCTATTTTATCAAACCCACAAACGTCCCAGACACCGTTTTTTTGGTTTGTTCTTGAAACTATAATGCTTCTTTTCGCTCCTGAAAGCATATAATAATTATTTTGGTTTCCTTTGTTAATATAAATAATCTTTTCGTTCAACAGCCCTGCAAAGAGCAACAGTTAATTTTAATACCAAACACTTGTTAAAATACCAGCCACATCTGTTCATTTGCATTCTTACATTCAAAGCACACTTGTTTGTTCCTGTTTCTTTATACAAAACAAATAACGAAAGAAACGAAACCACTACAAAAAAGGACTTTAAACAATAAACAAAGATAGATATAATAATAATTCTATAATAAGTATCATTTATCGCAGATTGTTTCAAAGTGTATATTTATAACTACAAAGAAATCCCAAATAAATAAAATTATTTTAAATAATCACACACTCAACAATTAGTAGAGCCAAGCTCCTTTACCTTTTTATTCGTTAAAAAAAAAAAGGATTCGTGAATTTAGAAACTTTTTTTTTTTTTAAAAAAAAAAGGAAAAAAAAATTTCACAGACCTTTTTAATTAGTTACATTTTTATATTTTAAACACAATAATTTTAATAAAATGGGTGGACAACTTACAAAAGAACAAGCTCGTCTACCTTTTGGTTACGTTTCCTCTAAATCTAATAATAGACGACGAATAACGACGGGTCTTACCCCTTCAACGATAAGACCTAATGTACATCCAACCTCAGATACTCCAGATTCACTTTTGAATGACCTTTATGAACTTAATAATCATTTACAGAATGTATCTAATCATCTTACTCTGATTCCACCAAGTGGAGAAACGGCATCGATAGTAACGACAGCTACTGATGTTATTTATCCCGAACCTGTAACGGAATCAGATAAACCTGACGAAGAATTATCATGGGCGATATTACATTCTCATAATGGTGATGACCGTTCGTGTTTTCATGGGGTAACTGATGAATTAATAGATGAAAATAGCGAACTAAGTCATATATTATTTAGTGAATTACCTAACTTAAAAAATATCGGGCTTTGTTCTCTTGGGCTAGTAAAATTAAGTAAAAATATCTGTTTTCTATATATTACGAATTGTCTACAAATGTAAGTATTTTTGGGGGGATGAGGGAATGTTTGAAATAAAGATATATTAACAAAATAATTTATGTATTTTTTTTAATTAGATGCTGTAATGAGTTGACAGAAATACCGGCAGAGATTGGATATATGAAAAATTTAACAAAACTCGACCTGTCCAAAAATAAATTAGAATATATTCCAGATACAATTGGATTCTTACATAAGCTCGTTGATCTTAGATTATCAGAAAATCAGTTGACATACATACCATCTTCTATTGGATCTCTTAAGAAACTTGGAACTTTGTTGCTTGATTGTAATAAAATTGTAGAATTACCTCCAGAGATTGGAGAAATTAAAACACTTGTCAATTTGGATGTTCGCGATAATCCAATTACCGTTTTACCTGCCGAATTGGGAAGGCTTCAATATCTACGCAAACTTCGTACAGATGGTTGTCCATTGAAAACGGAATTCGTACATGAAATCACACATTCACCTCCAACACTTATGGAATTAGCCGCACGAGCTATCGTTAGGAAACAAATACCAATTCTAGAGGATACGACAGAACATCTAAAAGATTATCTTGCAGGCGCTAAAAAATGTAGCTTTTGTTATGGGCCATACTTTGAAAGTTTTGTTAAAAGAGGAAAGATAATTGATAAGAACGATCAACATATTCCTCTTGAATATAGACTATGTTGTCCACATTGGAATACTGAACAAGAACGAGTTAGTTTACTATTCTGTGCGTTACCAGATACTGCACCTAGCTCTGAACCATATAATTATCCAAATAATATTGATCCTACCATAGCATCAGATGGTAATGCGCCAATAGTAAATGAAATGGTTTCAACCGAATCACAACAAAAACTTCAACGTCATCCTTCTGCAAGACGTTCAATGACAATTCCCCTTAGTTCTCTTGCGAGATCCCCTTCGTTACCAAGTTTACCGAGGTCAGCTTCTCCAAGACCTACAAGTCAATTAGGAGATGATGTAGGAGTGAAAAAAAGTAATAGTACACGTGGAAAAAACGGAGTATCTCTCTGGAGACCAAGGAAGAATAGTTCCGCATCTGCAATTTTGGGAAAGCCTTTACGTAACAGTTCATCTTTGCGCCTAAGTTCTAGATGGCGTTCACAATATTGATTTACGCAATTACATATTCCAGTAAAAAAAAAAAAAAAATTAAATTTCTTTTTGGTAAATGGGATGGACATTTATTAATATTATTACATTATTATTCCTTACTTTATTATTACATTTACTTTTTTTTGCAATCAAACATATAGTTGTTGAGACGATGTGTGTGGGGAAGAAATTATGTATATATTTTTTTTTCACTTGTTTATTTCACATAATTTAAAACCTCATCTCCCCTTTCCCTTTATTTCTTTTTTTTCATCACTTTCCCCACGCGCGAATTTTTTCTTTTTTTTTGATCTTTTCACCTTAATGTGTATAGTTTTCATTATCTCCTTCTTAAACAAACAAAAGTCCAACCGTCTCACTCAGCTTCCTATAATCATCAATTATGTTTATTATATTTGGGAAATGTTAGTAATTAATCATTAATTATCAGTCCTTTCAATCAAAGTAATCAAAGTGAAAAAAGTATATTATACGGTAAATATTCCATCGAAAAAAAAAACCTTTACGTTTGATGACCTATATGTGTAAGAAAGAACAAACACGCTCTTTTGTTAGGATATGGGAAATTAAAAAGTTCCCTCACATTATTTCGTTCTTTTTAAAATCAAAATTTTATAGACTTATTTATTTTACCTCGCTCATTTTCTTTCTTTTTTTTTTAAAAAAAAACCAAAAAATAAAAACTTTTTATCCTTTTAAAATCTTATTTATTCTCATCTCTAATTATCCTTTACACCTTAACTTTCACATACTAGTCTTTGAAGGAACTTATAAATATTTTTCCAATTCTTTCATAAAAAACTTCATTTGCTAAAAAATGTTGGATAGTTTGGAGAGGTGTTTGTATATATTATACATATATAAAAAATTTTTGGTGGATTCTTTTTTTTTCCTGAGGTTTGTCAAGTTTTTTTTATTATATTAATACTTCCCTTTGCCATTTTTTTCGTTCATATTTGGCTTCGCCGTCCGTTGAGCGCGAAATTAACCGAGAACAAGGAAATTGAAACGAAACCCTATAATATTAATACTCTTTAAACAAAAAAAAAACCAACCAGAAAAAAAACAAAAAAAAAAAAAAAAAAATTTTGATTCGTTCTTTATTTTAATCATTTCCTCTTAATTAAAACCAACTTCCACTTTTCCTTATTTCTCAAGAAAATTATTAATGACCTCTTTGTCTAANATACATTTACTTAACCTTTTTATTATTCAATACATTTTGACTTCTTCGATTGAGGTATTCCTTAATTCGATAGAATGAAAAATATTTTAATCATATATTTATTAAATAAAAAAAAAATTATTAATAAAATATTTATATAATAAGATTTTTGAGTATATTTAATTATTTTAGGGATATTTTTTTGTTTTTTTCTTCTTTTTCTTTTAAATGTGATTGAGAACTTTAAGGATGGAAAAAATTGGTGGCAAAAATGGTGAAAAAACCTCCCCTCGAAAAAAATCATTACCTTTAATTGTATTTGAAAGGGAATATATATCGTATACATACTCTTTTTGGAGGGAAAAAAAAGTACATTGTTCAATTCTGTGATTATTTTTTCGTAGTATAATTTTTTTTTCTTTTACATTTTTCTTTTTAATTTTTTCAAATATTTATTATGGATTTTTTTTTTAAAAACTTTTCGTGTAATTTTTTTTCCATAGAGAATTTACGTGTTTTTAAAAATTAATATTTGAAGTGGTTAGGGAACTTTATTTATGAAAGTTTAATTGTATAGGAAGGAATGAATCGATCAAGTCTGGATTTATGGCTAAAAAATTTAAGAATGTAGCAAAAGGAATTAAAAAATTACGAAAAATATCGGTTGTACATCCGAAAATTTTTCGGTTTATATTTTTTTTTTTCATACTACAATTTAAATTAATAATATCCAATAGAACCCAAACTTGTCGATATATTCATTACAACCTTTCAATTCTGATTCGTTCTTTATTTTAATCATTTCCTCTTAATTAAAACCAACTTCCACTTTTCCTTATTTCTCAAGAAAATTATTAATGACCTCTTTGTCTAATCAAATCAAATATTTCTTTTTTTTTAAAAAAAAAACGTTTTTTCATTTCTTTTTATGTTAATAAAATATTTATTGTAATCATTTTTTCTTTTTTATCAAAATCGTTCATATTTTTTTTTTGGGTTATTTAAAAAAGAAATTGGCAAATGGCAAAAAAAAAGGAACAATGGTATTTACATTTTATTTCGATTTTCTTTTTCGATCGGTTTAATTATTATTATTATTCATTCGAATTATTTATCGCATATAATATTTATTATTTCGTTTGTATATTTTAAATTATTTTTCAAAGAATAATTATTATTATTACAATAATATTATTTTTTTAAGTACAAAAAAAAAAAAAAAATTA